GAGGCACATACAGGTTTAATAAAAGTATTACAGAAAATTCCCAATTTGTCACATGAGTATGTGGATAGAGATTATATAATATGAATGTTATCCTGTGTTGTGACACTGCAGTTGCAGCATCAGAATCCTGTTCACATTGTTTATCTCAAGTAAGTAGATCACTTGCCTAGAAGCTCATGTTACCAAAATGAGCATGTGCATTGCTTGTGTGAAAATGTCAGTAGCTTGTAGCTCATACTGATTAATATAGAATGTACCGTGGGGTAGAGTGGTGTCAAAATGGGGCGTGAGCTTGGAGAACTCTGAATCCATTCCCAGTTGTCTAATTAAAGGAAAGTATATTGTCACAGTATCTGGAGAACATTATTTATAGTCCATTTCCATCCTTCAAGAGTCTGATTTCCAATATGTCTGTTTATTTCTTAGATTAGGTGGAAGGCTCTTGTTTTCCAAGTGTCTTTAGTGATGACATCCAAACAGAATCTTTGAATGAGCTAGTGGCTTACATTTTAAACGAGGCTGGGTCAAGGAGGCAAGTAAAGTCCAAAGTTTATAGGTGAGAATATGAATTTAAAAATGTTCAGGGACAGCTTTGTATCTGTGCCACCTAATCAGAGATCTGGATTTGATTCCTTGTATTGGCATGGCCTGGGAATACCGTATAGTCCTGTACAACACTATTTCTCATTTTGGCTTTTCTTAGGCTAGAAGAAAGGTCTTAGTGATGGATGTGGATTGGAGAGGGGAATGCAATGCATAAAACTTTGAGTAAGGGTATTTTGTGGGTTACATAATGCATGCAGTATATATGAAACCACTGCCCTTTCCCCTAAACGATTGTTGGAGAAATAATGGTGTAATATGAAAGATAGCATTGTCTTAGCAGCAACCAAGCTTTCCTGGTGGTGCACAGTTTTGATTGATCATAAATCCCTTCTGTTTATCTAAAAGGGATGCCAAAATACTCTTCAGATTGTATGTGTTTAGGGGTCTCTCCAACTGTCTCTGGGCTCTAGAAATGACAACTGCTCCTGTTTGAAGTGCTATGATAGCTGTATCAGTCCCAGGATATTAGAGAGACAAGGTGAGGGAGGTAATATCTTTTATTGGATCAACTTCTGTTGGTGGAAGAGAGAAGCTTTAGGCAAACTGTTCCTATAGCAACAACATAATGCTACACAATTTTTAGAAGAGAAGGGTGAAGTTCTGTACAGAGAGAGAAATGACAATGCCCTTAGGAATTTGGCTAGATTACGAACATGAAAAAGCACAGCACTGTTAAAAGATTCTTTTGGGGTGGGTCTGTCTGAATAATCAGGATGGCTCCTGCTTCTTCCTGGTGGTGGTGGGGGATTGAAGACTAAGATGGGCTAGACAGAAAACAGAGGGGAAACTGCACTATACATCTGCTGGGCACACTTACTTATCAAATTTTTTAACAAGACACACATAAACGTTTATCTATGTTATCCTCAAAATAGGAATAAAAATGTATACAGACACACTGGTTTTAAACTTTGACTAGCCTGTGAAGTGAGCAGAGTCGGATATTTAGAAGATTTGGAGATTCAGAGCCATAATACAGCAATTTACACTGCAGTAAATCTGGATCAGCTGACTTCAGTGCTAGAGAGGGTTAAGGAGTTATTACCCAGACACCGCTCTGTCCTGGATGTGACAGGGAGCTGCATGCTGGGGATGTGAATTGGGGAGGGGGCAGGACAAATCCAGCTGCACAAGGCAAGCTAGACATAACAGGCCAGAGCTTGCTCCTCAGAGCTGCCTGGCTGCGACTGGACAGTGTGTCGCCAAGCCTCGCCACTAGTTAGCAATCATTCTGCCCTTGCTTCCGGGGTGCTATTTAGGGGATGCTCCTCCCCCAGTTTCATACCACATTATAATTACAGTTTGTGTGTGTGTGTCAGAGTGTGCATGGAAGATTGAATGAAACAGACTGTGTGTGTTGAGGGAATCTGTAAGGGAGACTGTGCGCATGTGGGGGGGGGGGAATGAGTGGGAGACAGCACAAGCCTAGGTGTGTCAGCATGCTGTCTATTTAAGTGGCCCATTCAGAAGTCTGTTGCTTGTTTAGTGGAGCTGCAAGTCCCACTCCTGAGTCAGACACACCAGCACAGACAGTTTCCCTGTCTCCACACCCAAGCTCAGCAGAGACCCACTCAAGCACGGCCACCTCTAGCATCAGGTGAGCTCCCCCAGTGCCAGTCAGAGATCAACTTCCTAAAGAAGGGGATGCTTAAGTGTAAACACTGTGTTGTCTGGTGCTGGGGAGCTGACTGCGCCAGCACTGCAAATCTGTCAGGGGGTCTGAGCAGGGACTGGCACAGGGACTGAGTAGAAGATTATTTTTCTCCAGTCTAGGCCAGTGGTTAAAGCCTCTTTTTTTGCAGATCAGGTGTGTGAGAGGCCTTAAGGTAGCAGTCTGCTTGCCCTGGCTGCTGCTCTTTGCAGGCCACGGTGAGCAGCAGAGGGAAGTGAGAGCAAGTGAATCTGGAGTGTGTCTGCTGTTTGGAGCCTGGCCAGCGGCCACAGCTCTTTCCACTGTGACTTCAAAGCTGGGCGGCTGGAGAGAAGCGGCTGCATGCCAGGTGCCCAGCTCTGAAAGCCTTGCCCCTGCTAGGAGCTGAGAAGGATGGCTACGGGGGTTAGGATTAAGGTACATTTTGGGATGGGTGTAGCTCCCTCTAGCATCACCTCTGTGAATGACTTAGCATGTTCTTCTCCCATGCTGTTTTAACAAATGGGGAACTGTGGGCATCTGTCTTACTGACTACAGTACATGAAGGCATATTTCTTACTGTTCCCTTTAGTAATTTGCCTTCGAGCCCTTCATCAAGGGAATACATTTTTTCTAGACTCTGATCTTTCATGATCTTCATGGGGCTATTTCTAATCTCACCTTGTTTTGCTTGCCAGCACTCTAGATCATACCCCTGTGCTCTCTTAGGCTAGGTCTACATTGCCATGTTACAATGGAAAAAGAAATGCAAGTTGCGGTACGCAAATTGTGTATCTTTTTCTGATTTACTTTCCAAAGAGGCTTTTCCGAAATTTGGTGCAACTACCTGGCGCCAAATTTTGGAAAAAAGTGCTCTTTTAACATATCCCTTGTTCCTCATAGAATGAAGTTTACAGGGATGGCAAAAGAGCATATCCGCTTTTTCAATTTTTTTTCAAAAAAGCAGATGCGTTCCTTGGGCGTGGCATACCTCCGGTATCCCAGAAAAGCAATGCAGTCTAGACGTAGCCTTATTTCTGTTAGTTATTTCTACCCCTCATTCTCATACACAACACAATCAACCTACCTGTTCCCATTGTACAGGGAAGGCCCTGTACATCAAATGTCATATTATTGTATTTTTACCATTAGTATAGTAAAAGCTTGAAGATTTTGTTTACTGCATTAATACTTTTAGGTATGCTTTACTGCTAAATAAGTTAGTGTTATAAGAATGTTCAAGCATGGGATAAATTGTTGCTTTTCTAAGTGATAATAAGCCTTTGATAAAAATCATAACGAGCCCTTAGTTTTCCTCCAGTCACACGAGTACCCAGGAGAACATATATTAATGTAGAGCTGGATAAAATCCTTTTGGCAAATAGTAAAGTCACTGACAAATACAGTTTTGGGGTAAACAAACTATTTGCAAATTTGGTCGAATCTGGTAATAGCTTTGAAGTAAAACCTGAAAACAGGAAAATTTTGGAATACCATAAAGATTCATTTTGAAAATGTCAGTTCCACTTCTCATTTTATTTTGAAAATGTCACTTTGAATGAACATTTAATTTGCCTCGAATAACTTTTTTAAAATTTTAGTTTAGGCACCTAGAAATTTTATTTTGTTAGAAACTTACTATTCCCTTTCCCCTTCCTCCCCCCCGGAAATCAAAAATCAGTTTACTCAGTTCTACATATGTGGTTCCTCATGACAGTCACCATAAACTATAATCCATTGCTGTCTGACACCTTGATTTTCCTTCATGATATTCCCGCTTTTCCATTTCTTTTCAGTAGTTTCACATATACGTTTCCTCCCCTCAGCCATGCTCTCTCTTTCCCACAACACGTTTTCTTACCTGTACTAATTTTTTGGGAGACAGACCATAGATATATTTTTGTCTTGTAAGCATTTTTATGACTCCCACAGATGTGCTGGGCACCTCACAGAAAAGCATGTCTGTAATTATGATGGGAATTACTTTACCTCAGTGCATCTTAGGGTCAGATTCTGTAAGAGTGACCATTTCCATGTAGCAAACCTCAACACACTGTCCACAGAAATACAGTGAAACCATTAAATGATAATTGAATGAACTTGTTAAAGTTTGTTCAATAAATACACTACCCCTGCATTGAGCTAAGCTATATTTTATAAAGGAAATAATAGAAAAATAAACTGGTGGAAAAGAATAACATTTTGATGCAAAAAGGTAACATTTCACAGGTTTCTTCAGTACCGTATAGTTGTATCTAAAAATTATATGCTAACCTAAATACTGTATCTTCTGTGGACGTCATCGTAGCCTGCAGCACTTATAAGCACCTTCTAGCTGAATTCCTGACACTAATATTAGTCTGTGGAATGGTGTTCAGAGTAACAGCTGTAACATCAGTAAAGAATTTCAGACTCTTTGCCTCTAATGCTTGTGTGGGGAGGGAGAGGGAGAGGAGAGGGAGAAGCTGTTTGGAATATATTTCCTCTGAGACAAAGAGCTTTGATGGACTGACTTAAATTTCATCTGGTGCAGTCTGCTGCTGAAATATGAACTGGATTTCCATTCTGCAAAAGGCCTTTAGCATGTTCTAATCCCATGATCGCTGTAAGCACCGGAGCAAGTGAATATGAAATAGAAATGACAGAACTGAGTATGGTAGTGTGGAAGAGGGAGGAAAGAGAATGGAACAATTATTTTAACTGCCTTTTTGTTTAACCCTGAGCTATTTTTGTATTTTCTAACTGCAATCTCATCTTGGTACAGTGTATAAATCCCCTGAATATGAATCTCTTGGATTTGACCTGACCGTAGAAAGATTAGTTTCCATTGGATACCCTCATGAGCTGCTCAGTTTTGTCTATGATCCTGCATTCCCTACCAGGTAAATGACTAAGAGATACTGATTCAGTCTACATGTGGCTTTCAATGTTTATTCTGTGAAGTTGATAGATGTGACATTTCAAATTTTCAGAGGGCCTCTTGTAAGCCTGCAGTTGTCCACAGAACTTGGATAAACGTACCTAATTGACTTGCAGTGACTGACATCACTTGTGCAGAAATTTTGCACAAGAATATTAATTTTTTCTCAAAATCTGGGGCTGAGAGACTGAACTTTTACAGAATATGAGACTGCTAGAATGTTTCATACATTATTTTATTTTGTTTTGAAATAAAGAATTCCTGCACGGTATTGGGAACCCAAACTTTGCAGCAATGTCCTAGTGCACAAGAATGATCCTGAAAGTGAAACAGACTGTGAAGAAAAATAAAACTGGACTAGTTAAGTTTAATTGTGAAAATGGAATGAAATGCAGCAAGCGTGCCTGCAGATATTGGTGGAAAGTAAATTTAATTGTTAGAACTCTGACACATTTGAGAGACTCTTAGGAGCAGAGATAAGGAAGTTTGGGGTTTGACTGATGGCTTTTTAATCTATGTGTCCTTAAAACTTTTAAAGTTGTTTCCAAATATGCCTTTGCTGGACTTAATCTTACTGGTTTCTGTAGAACCTTCTATGGACTGTTTAGACTTCTATGGACTGTATAGCTGCTGAGCTCTGGTTTTCAGTCTGGTAGCCTCCTCCCTTCCATTCCTCCCTCCTTGAGTTGCACTACTGCCACACATTGCCATTTCCATAGTAGGAAGGTGGTCCATAATGAAGCTGTCAGGAAGATTCCAATGAGCATGTGCACTGAATTCAATGCCTTCATCATGGGGCGGAGAAGGAAAGGTTGACAAGATAAGGACAGCTGGCAGCAACCTTTCTGCCAATCACTCTTGAAGAAGCTCATTGTTTTCAGCAGGCATGGCATCTCTTTTTCCCAAAAGCTTGTGACTACAGGTTATGTGGTTTTGCCAGAAAAGATGTAGCCCTCAAATTGGTGGTAGGAATGACACGACAATTTTTGCAGCTGTGACATACTGTATGTAGCTCTTCTAAATTCAAGAGAGATGCACAAGACTGGAAAGGTTCCTCCCCACCATCAGTTCTCCATTGAATCTATCAGGGAATCACTAAGACAGGTGTGAGATCCAACTTCTTGACCTTTTGTAGATTCTCCCTCAGTGTTCGATTCTGTTTTGGATGGGACATCCAAGAATAAGCTCAAATGTCATACTTCAAATAGGCCCACGCAGAGCTGATTCTGAGTCCTGCTCTTATTATAGTGTATTTGGTCACTACTCAGTGTGTTTCTCATTTCACATATTAAATTCCTTCCTTGACAGAGGCCTGGTGTTTGATACGCTTTATGGAAACCTGTTGAAAGTTGATGCTTATGGGAACCTCCTAGTTTGTGCACATGGTTTTAACTTCATCAAAGGGTGAGTAATGACAACTTGGACATTCACGGGTCATTGGTTCTGACTTAATAAATGGCTTAATAAACCATAAAGAATTGCAGTCCATTGGTTGATAAGAAATGCTTTTTATTTTTACCGTTTTGAATTATATTTAATTATTTTTGAGTGTTCTGAAGTTAATGATATTTCAACTCTAGAAAAAAAAAAGTCAGTACAGTACAAAGAGGCCTATATTTTTCTATAGTCCTGGAAATAGAATAGGACGTAGTAAGGGAAAAAAAGTAAGGGGAGAGGGATAGCTCAGTGGTTTGAGCATTGGCCTACTAAATCCAGGCTTGTGAATTCAGCTTTTGAGGGGGCCATTTAGGGAGCTGGGGCAAATCTGTTAGGGATGGTACTTGGTCCTACCATGATGGCAGGGGACTGGACTCAATGACCTCTCAAGATCCCTTCCAGTTCTATGAGATAGGTATATCTCCATAATATATTATATTATAAAAGTTTATAGGACAGTGTATGGGGCTTTTAACCTGTGCTGGCATAATTCAATTTCAGCATCCTGTCATCAAGTAAAATAGTTCAGTTGTGTCAACCCTCTCTGGAACAGACAGATGTCTTTATCATATGAACAGCTGTATATGATTCAGCTCATCAGTCTGTGCTTGAAAGAGGTGAAGGATTGAACTAACTTCTGAGCTGAATTAACTCTTCACCTCTTCTTGTAGCTTATGGTTTAAGCCAGTGGTAAAGCAGTATGAAGGTTTGTGTGTGATGTCCTGCAGTCCCCATTGGCTGTTAGCATTCCTTTTACCTCTCTGAGCAGAAAGAAGAGAAGTGTATCAGCAACTCTTTGCATCTATCACCCTGAGAAAAACATTCCACTGTTAGCATCGAGGAAGTTAAAGAAGGACTTCCCATGATGCAAAAAGGGAAGGCTGCAGGCCATAATGGTAGTCCATTAGTATTCCTCCACCATCTTGGTCCCAAAACACTCCAGTGGCTAGCAGTGTTGTACTCTACTACCTTAAGGACAGTACGGATCCCTGAAATATGGCAGGAGGCAATGGTAATTATTGACATTCCAAAGTCTGGTAAGCCCCATGGTGAAGCAGGAAGCTATAGACCAGTGTCTCTACTACACAGAACCTATAAACTTCTATCCTCAAAAAAATATTTCCTTTTACTGAGCCAGTTATCCCTGTCAAACACATGGGCTTCCTGCCAGAACATAATTGCTGTGACCAAGTTCGGCACTCACACTGAGGCTGGCTATCAAAAAAAACTCCTAAAGACTGTTGTAGTACTGGGTGACCTGTCATCTGCATGTGGTACTGTATGAATTGAAGGCTTGATGCTGAAACTTGCTAAAATCATACCTTGCTCCCAAACACTTCACCTGCTGTTCACCATGCTGAGTAATAAGACGCCTGTGGAAAAACTTGGGTAACAAGATCACCACACTCCGTATCATAAACATCAGGTTACCACAAGGCACTGTACTTGCACCAACCTTTTTTAATAGTTACAGAAGTGACATGATGCCAACTAAATCACAAATATTTGGCTATGCAGATGACCTTGCCATGACAATCCAAACATCAGACCTCCATGTCATTGAGAGAGCATTAACTAAGACCTCCAAAATATGGAACAATATTTCCAAAATGGAGGCTCAAACCAAGTCCTGGAAAACAGTAAGCACATTTAATCTTGATACGAAGAGTGCCAAAAACACACAGAACGTAGCTTTCTGTGCTAAATGTGTGCAAACAATTACACTACAACGTGTCTCAGATTGAAACTTGACCGTACCATCTCCTTCCAGGAACATTTTGAAACAGTAGCTTCAAAGATAAAACTGAGGGGCAACATAATCCAGAAACTAGCAGGTACAACCTGGGTTTCATCAGCATAAGTGCTGAGAACATCTGAAACAGCACTTGTGTACTCAGTAGCTGAATATTGTGCATTGCTATGGAGCAGATGCAGCTACACAAAACTTGTGGATACTCAGCTGAATACAGTGATGTGGTGCATCGCAGGAACCCATAAGTCGACTCCAACACCATGGCTACTTCTCATGTCTAATATTGCTCCCCTGCCGATACATCAAATTGCTGCAACATTCCATGAAGCTGAGCAAATCCAGGAAAACATGTCTTCCTATTTACCAAGGCCTTGACAATGCACTCTCCCCTCCCCGCAACATCTTATGTCCTGCAAACCTTTCTGGGAATATTCATTTAGCCTCATGTAATCAGGCTCTGATCAGAAGGAAGGTTGGAAAGCAGATTGGCCTAAACAAGACTTAAAAAATAAGTACCTTGCATCAGATCCCACCCAGAAGGTACCTGGGTTTGATCTTCCATGTGCATTTTGGTCAACTCTGTCCCAAATTTGAATCAGACATGCACAAATGGAAAATCAAAGATTTCCCAGTGTGCATATGTGTTTCCCCATAACAGACCATCAAGTATAATGCCCAAATTATAAATATGAAAGAGGCATTACTGCAATAAATTCTGCTACTCCGGATGTAGCCATTTGGCTTGATCAACTCCAGTTGGGTAGGAGAAGTGTAAATGTGCCCTGCATTTGGCCCTGCTGTGTATATAATGGTAAGCTTTGAAAGCAAAGTGCATAATTCTGTCAGTGATCATTTTAAATGACCTTTTAGGAGAACAAGAATAATTACTTTTTTAACACTGCCCCCCTGCTGTTTAATTGCAAAGAGCCTCATTATAGCCTTCAGCAAAACAACCTGGCACATTGCTGATGAAAGCTGCATGTGGGTGTTTAAAAAAACACATGGAAACTAGGGGAAAGTTTAATCAGTTAATTTTAATCAAACAACGAAAATGCAAAGGATTTAAATATACCCCTGACTATTAAGGTAAGGCTGTGGTCACTTAGCCAATCTGCTTCCCTGTCTCAGATTTATTGACTTTACTGACCAACCAGGGATGTTTTTGCTCTGCTCGAGCCAACACAACCATGGAGTGTGAAGTGCATTCTGTTCTTTTGCATCACCAACACACTGTTAATTCCCCGCTCATCATGGTAAAATGAGGTGTTGATTAAAGCTTGAGGGAATCTTGAATTAATTGATCCTTTTATGATAATATTCAAAGAACTACTGAGTGTGTTATTGTTTTTAATTTTTCCCTTTACCATCTTATTTCCTTTCAGGCCAGAAACTCGGGAGCAGTACCCAAATAAATTTATTCAGAGAGATGACACAGAAAGGTTTTACATTCTGAACACGCTGTTCAATCTACCAGGTAAGTCCCTAGTTGGATGCTGTAGGGCTTGATCTTTTCACTGAAATTAATGGGAGTTTTGTCATTAATTTCCTGACAGCAGATTGGGCCCTAAAATACTGGTGTGTGTTGAGTTACAGGTATACCTCTCTTCCTCCAGACTCCTCCTCTAAAGTTATTTTGATTTATGATGTAGCTCTTGTCTTAATATTCTGTTTTGTTTCTTTGCAGAGACCTACCTGCTGGCATGCCTAATAGATTTCTTTACGAACTGTGACAGATATTCTAAGTATGTATATTACCTGATTTTATAAATCTTACGGATACAATGTAGTCTTGAATATATGTTTTAAATAATGGGTGCACAATATAGCACTGAGCTGCTCTACTGAGATCCCACCTCCCAGTAAGGTCAGTGCAAGCCTTTCCATTGACATCTCTGGGAATAAGGTCAGTCCTCTTTAACTTTTTAATATAAAGGTGAATTCCAAGTTGATGAGGTGCCTCTGTTAACATTGTTGGAGTCTGAAGGCCTAGAGCAAATGGACGCAGTAAAGACCCTGGCAATGCAGTTTGGCCCTCATACTGTGTACCTTTCTCAAAGCACTGGTTGCCACAACTTTACTGTAGAGAGACAACCTCTAGATATGAACTGAATGAACAGTTGGTTTCCATTTCTACTCTTTTCTTGGCCCCTCAGCTAAGACTCCAACAAATAATGCCAAGTGAGTTGGAGGTTTCATGGTCTTAAAGTTTATGATCTGATACCCCAAACTCACTGCAAACACAGTGGCCACCAAACAGCTCAGAGATGTCTGTTTTCAGTGCCTAACAGTTAGAACTCTATTTGAACCAGTAACCTGGAAGTAAAATTCCCCGGCTCAATTAAGAGCCACTTAGATTCTCATATAGTAGTTTTAACATTTTCATGGTTTAGAACCTTGTCCACTCACCGTGAAATATGCTAATGACATGGGTTTGTTTAAAAGACCAGGTTCACTTAATGAGAAAGTTGTTTAAAATGTTAAGTTTGGTTTTAATAACTTTAAAGGACACATTTTGCAAATCTTTATCGTATTTTTAATTACTATGCATAGCAAACTTTTTGAAGCAGGAAATGCATATTTTCTTTTTCCTCCATCATGTATGTGCTTCAGCATCTGTTATTGCAGGATTGCTCATAAGCACTATGCTTCCAGCACTTACTGGTTTAGAAAAGGAATATTGAGACACGTGGGATTTTGGAGGGATAAAACACATCAATGTTTACATGGGCCTACCAAGAGATGTATGTTAAAAATGGTAGGATGCAGTTGTTTGGGAAGTAAAGATTAAATGCATATGCAGTTTTGCTCAGGGACACAGGAATTGCCATTCTGGATCAGATCAGTGGTTCTAAAACCTCCCCTAATGACACCTCAGTTTGGGACAGTTCCTCAGATTTGTCACCTAAAAAGAATGGCTTAGGTTTGGGTATCTCCCTCACATCCTCAGCTGCGAAGACCAATGCAAAGTATTAATTTAGTTTCTCCGAAATGACCTTATTGTCTTTGAGTGCTCCTTTAACCTCTCAGTTGTCCAATGGCTGCTCCACTGGTTGTTTAGCAGGCTTCCTGCTTCTGATGTACTTAAAAATTGCTATTATTTTTTGAGTTTTTGGCTAGCTGGTCTTCAAATTCTTTTTTGTTCTTTCTAATTATCTTTTTACACTTCATTTGCTAGAGTTTATGCTTCTTTCTCTTTCCTCACTAGGACTTAACATCTTTTAAACAATGGCTTTTTATTTCTCACTGCTTATTTTATTTGGTTGTTAAGCCACAGTGGCAGTTTTTTGGTTCTCTTACTATGTTTTTAATTTGGGGTACACATTTAGGTTGAACCTCTCGTATGGTGTCTTTGAAAAGTTTCCAATCATCTTGAAGGGATTTCACTTTTGGCACTATACCTTTAAATTTCTGCTTAATTAACTGCTTCATTTTTGTGTAGTTCTACTTTCTGAAATACTTTATTATGTTCGTCTTTTTGTATATCTCTGTTATGTCCTGTGTTATTCATCATCTGTTTAAACTACAGTCCCAGTCTATCAGTCACCCCTAAAATGGAAATCTTTGAATGTCCTTTACCATTATCTACCTACCATTCCATTAGTGTTAGGAGGGAGACTAGAATCACGGTCACAAGAGCATGAAACACCACACTACTGGAACATGGACCAGAGACAGGAATCCGCTTCCTGAAGCTCTGAATGAATAGCACGTTTGGGTAACAAACACCTCTCATGCTGCTGTATACATGATGTCTGTTCAGAGAGGCTCCATTAATTGGGAGCTATTTACAGGAGCATTCTCTCAGTTCCATCACCCATGAAGTAATAAAAAAGGAAATAATGAGTACAAATCGGGACTACAAGCTTTGTCAGATATATTGAACTATGCTGTCTCCCTGGGTTGCTCATTAGTCACAGAGTTCCTGTGTCGCTTGTATACTTCTTACTGGCTGCTGTTCTTTATCTGACATATATGATCTTTCTTTTTGTTCCTCATAGCTGTGAAACAGGATTTAAAGATGGAGACCTCTTTATGTCCTTCAGAAGTATGTTCCAGGATGTCAGAGATGCTGTTGACTGGGTTCATTACCAGGTGATTGGAACTCCTTGGCATTTTTTTGTTAGGCATTAATTGAACTACATCTGTCTTCGGCTCTCAGAATGGAATCAGTTAGCATGTGACTGTATCCCTGTAAAATAAACTTGTTTTGCAATTTAGTAACCATGGTGCAGGACTACCCCCTTGGGGACAGTGCTTACTTCTGTCCTTACACGGGAGGATCCCTCCATTCTTTTCTCTCAGCCATGCCTAATTTTCCTTATCTGTAATTAACAAGCAATTTAAAGATGAACCATATTTGCATTTTATAACAATTTTGCAATGCTGATTGTATTGTACATCTATTCTAGAGTATTAATTGCTTTATACTGTTAGCAAGCTGTGTTTGTGATGGATGGAGAATTTCTTAAGTTTTTATCCTCTGCTTCGTGCAGGGGTCGACCTGATTTTATATACGCACACATATTTACCTATGCTAATTGGATTTCCTAATCAGTGTTTGTAAATAGCCAGCTGAAGGCCTGATTCTGATCCCCTTATTTACATGAAGAGTCCCATATTGAGTAGGATGGAGCACTTTTATATCATTGGATCACATTTTATGCTTCAGGTTATCCTCTGATTTCTAAAAATTCAGAAGGGAATTTTTCTTCCCATACAGAATTTTGCACAATTGACCAGGTGCTGTGTGGTGCACTTTGTTTTTTACTGAAGCACTATGGTCATTTCTGGAGACAGGAGATCAATGGTCTGATCTGATATGGTGATTTATATCAGTGTCTGTTTCTATCACAATCCTTCTTGAAAGGGTTGAAATAGTGTTAATGTGGATATTCACTTCTAAAATTAGCACTGGAGTCAGGGACTAAATGGCTCATAGGATTTGTGATAGCTCATGCTCTCTCTCTAGTCTAGAGTCACCTGTTCAGATTCATTCCTGGTTTGTATTTTTACACGGCTTTGACAGCATGGAAGTTGTAGATAATCTGATGTAAGTTAGATCATTATGCCCAGCATCTCATGGAGTTCTCTTATTTCTATTTCAGGGAACTCTCAAGGAAAAGACACTTGAGAATCTGGAGAAGTACGTTGTGAAAGATGTAAGTATGGGGTTATTTTGCTGAGCTGTGTAACGTATTGTACGAGGAACACAGGCAGGAAATGTGTAGAAAGGAGTAAACTTGATTTGTTTTACTGAATTTAAAGTGGAAAGTTCAGACCCTTCCTGTATCCCACACAAATAATCCACGTAGCCTGGTTTTCATCCGCACATCTGTTAAACGGATTACAGTAAAGGAGAACTTAACACCCAGTGGAGGTGATGAGTTGGTTAGGCTCATGAAGGCTCTATTGGTGGGGAAGGGGACAGTTTCTTTTACTGCCTGTTCTGTTAGCACCATAAATCACTCAGTGATGCGTCTCTGATGACCTCAGCTTCAGAAGAGGCTGACATATTTTCCCAGACAGAAGTATTAATTTAACCAGACAGTTAAAGAGGCATGAGGGGGGGATGAGAAATTCCAAGAAACCATCCAAGGCTCAGTCTCTCAAACTTCCTTCCAAAGTGAGTGCAATGTCTGACCTAGGAGAGCTGAAACTGCCCTCCTCCCTGCTTTTGGATTGTCTTTGAGGGACGTGCATGAGCGGCAAGTAAGTATTCTGCAGACAGTCTCCAGGAGTAGGCCCCATATGTAGTAAAAACTTGTCTGAATGTAATTTTGTTCAAAGTAATTAACCAGTCTAGTTACCTGTCTGCAAACTGCTTTGGAAACTTCTCCTTTGGGGTAGTCGGCCATCCTTTTAATTTACATATTGCTGAATTAGGATTTATAGCTTGTTAGTATAAAAAGAGCTCCAGCCTCAAACTCACTCTAGCTTTGATGTTTGAATTATGACACGTCCCTCCCTATAGACTTGAGTGTTCAAAATTTCTCTCTAAGGGGTCATTTTGGTAATTTACCGGCAGTCCCTAGGCCAGATCCAGTTTGTGTGAAGTGGATGAGTATGCTACAGTATGTGAAGTGCCACTAACCTATTAGTAAAAGTCTTCATGGGGAGATCAGGGTCTGCTAGCATCTGCGAACACAGTTAACAATTCCCATTTACATCTCTTCCACTCTTTTCATTTCTATATGCAAGGAAGTTTTCCTGATGCTGTTGCCAGTTTAAAATTTGTTATCTTGTAAGCATGATTGTATTTGAGCCTGTGGAACTCCTTGCCAGAGGATGTGGTGAAGGCTAGAACTTTAACAGGGTTCAAAAAAAGAGCTGGATAGATTCATGGAGGTTAGGCCCATCAATGGCTATTAGCCAGAATGGGTAGGAATGGTGTCCCTAGCCTCTGTTTCTCTGGAAGTGGGTGACAGGGAAGGGATCACGTGAGGATTACCTGTTGTGATTCCTCCCTCTGGGGCATCTGGCATTGGCTTCTGTCAGCAGACAGGATACTGGGCTAGATGGTCCTTTGGACCCATTATGGCTGTTCTTATGAGCCTGTTTTTTCCAGTGGCAAAGTGACTGTAATCCTTGCGTGTCATTTTAGGGGAAAATGCCAGCATGAATGAGGTTGGAAAGGTGTTTCTTGCCACAAACAGTGACTATAAATACACAGATGTAAGTACGTCTGAAATACTTGGATTTGCATAGAACATAACAAAGAAAAACTGGCTATTCATTTTCTTACATTTTCTGGTTTCAATATTATGACTCTGAGTGTGTTCTGTATACTTCCTGGTGGGAGGTAGTGTAATCTAGTGATTAAAGCAGAATCTGGATCTAAAAACTCTTGGGTTCTATTCCAGACTCTGATACTAATTAATTATGTGCATTATTATGCATAGAAATAATTAATTATGTGCATTATTATGCATAGAAAGCTTAGAAATTGTTTGAAGTAGAATGCAGATTTTGAAGGCAAATCCATTCTTTTATTGTAAAAATTACAGTTTTAACTTCAACTGATTTTTTTATTAATTTTGTTTCCAAAATGTAATAAGTCTAATGTCAAAACTGACAGTAAATTAAAAAAAAAAATTGTCTTGCCTGAAAAGGTAGAAACTGAGAAGCAGACTGTTATAAAGTAAACGAGTAAGTATTGTAAAGTCCTATAAATATTTCTAATTTTTTCTTTCAGAAAATTATGACTTATTTGTTTGATTTTCCTCATGGACCAAAGGTATGTGATTTTAGGACTGCTCTTTTACTAGCAATTAAAGTACATAATTATCTCTGAGTACCATAACAGGATTGTAATTAGCAAGTATGGGAATTAGCAAGTATAGTTAAAACACACTGGCTGTTTAGTTTCCTTATGTACAAACGATAACTAGAACCTTTAGAGAGAGATTATCAATTGTTTAAAAACAAGAATCTTTAATAGTAGCATAATCTAATAATGTTGCACATTGTATTCAAGAGCAGTATGAAACTGACAAAGTTTAGATGTCAGTAAGAAATCTTATTGGCAAGGAAAAGGGCTTTGTAAATGGAAAGGAGAATCTAGGACCTAATACTGATCTCAACTCACCTCCGGACATGTTAGTCCTGATTTATGCTGGTCTAAATGAGGGCAGAGGTAGGCATGGAAATGTTTAAATATATTTGTTCGACAAACATTTGTCTGCTTAGTACAGTCAACTTAATTGATTACTTCACCGGTCACACAATGCATAGCTCACTCAGCTCCTGTTCCATTGAGTTATTTCGTTATTTACATGTGCCTGTCAATATTGCACCAGCACGCGTCACAAATGAAAACAAGAGGATTTTAAACATTTGTTAAATTAAATGGTAAAGGAAACAGACAGCTCCATCTCTGAACTGCTGCTACCTCCTCAGTGATGATTATAGTCAGAAAAATCTTTTGATCCAAAAATATGTGCCTTTGTACCATGCCCTGATGGTCGATGACCTCAAGCTGGGGTTATTTCCATTTCTGGTATTCTTCACTCACTGAAAATACCTCGCATCCTTGAGAATACCAGTTAGGGATGGTCAGTAACCCTGGCCTACATCTCACTCTCTCAGCTGATTTCAGCACCTTCTGAGAAAGTAATGCTGAATAGCTGAATGCTGATTGGTGCTTGTATCTCTGACGCATGGTTTGGTACAGAGTGCTTCCATGAGGATAGGAGTCCAGGCTGTTTCCTACCATTTTGAGAATGTTCACAAAGCCATGTGCTGACTTCACAAGGATCCAGTGTTGTTTGCAGGATAGTTGCAGTTGTGTTGGTCCCAAGATATGAGACTCAAAGTAGGTGAGGTAATGTCTTTAATTGGACCACCTTTGGTTGGTGGAAGAGACAAGCTTTCAAGCTTTACAGAGATCTCTCTCAGAATAACCTATGAGCATGGATCTTTGCAGGATGTCACCTTTACACACAAACTGACAGCTGTTATTTACAGTATCTTTTACTGCAACAGCTGAGCGATTATCTTACATGTGCAGTGCAGTCGCTCCATCTCAGCCTATGATGTCAGCCTCCCAAGCCAGGCTTGAATTAGCCCATGCTGGCTGGAAACCTCCAAGGAAAACAAAATGCTTTAGGAAGTGGTGCTGATATTTCAGAACTCTCCCTTCTTAGCCATTACCATAGAATAGTGCTAAGAACATTATCCTGTTGGGACCCATCTGACAAAAACAAACAAACAAAACTCTGTTTACTTTTAAGGAACCAGTCCATTGCATGTACAGGATTATCAGTAACAGCCCTAGCCAGAGTCCACTGTGACTTATTACATTCTGGTTTCCTACATTTCCCTGCAATGGAATTTCTTTTGGATTCAGTGTGTTTCGCTTCCTCTAAAACTAGTGTTTCTTGGTGATGTTAAATAGCAATCATGTTGGGACTCAGAGGTGGCTGCATTTCTGCAGTGTGTGAAGCGATTCCTCTCTCTCTAGTTTATGAAAGTCTTCTGGGATCCTTCAGGATGAAAGGTGAAATAAATACAACAGCTCGTATCATCAAATGTATAAGTGATTAGAGAAGAAGAGGCTGAAGGCAACTGACACTTTTTATGGTTCTTGTTTCTTCCTTTCCTAGCCTGGAAGCTCTCATCAGCCCTGGCAGTGCTACTTTGACCTAATTTTAGTGGATGCACGAAAACCCATCTTTTTTGGAGAAGGCACAGTATTGCGCCAAGTGGACACTGTAAGTACAGCATGCAGAGCACACTTCTATCTGCTAAGACTTGTATGGCATGAGGAGAACATCCCACATGGTTTCTTTAGGCACCTTGGAAAAGGAAATGTACTTTTCTGTAATGGACTCTGCATTGAAATTCATAGGAGATATTGGACTGGAGTTTGCTTTTAGTTACACCCAGTCAATCCCATTGCTGTCAGAGGTGTGTGTCTCTCATGGGCAGAACTGACTCCTTATGAGCTAAATTATAATACAGCAAGCTGCATTAGGAAGAGTGAAACACAAAACCCATTCATGTGAGTGAATGTTGCCGCCAGTCTCCCAGGTAGAGATGGGTTCAAGAGAAGAAAGAAAAACCAGACAGAAAAGATGCCCCACACCAACTGCCCATCACTAAAGCGATTTCTTTCCCCTTCTCTACAGGCTACTGGCAAGTTGAAGATTGGTACCTACACAGGGCCCCTGCAGCATGGCATTGTCTATTCGGGCGGTAAAAGCGAGAACAATTCCATGTGTATTGTAGAATGAACATAAACAGTTTTAGCTTCTCAGCCTACTGGCATAATCTGGGGTTGTTAGGTTAGTCTCTGGTGGTATTTCTGCTAGGCAAGCCCGTTAGTGCAACCTGGCGGGCCTGCTGCTCATTCGGCATTGTGCAAGGATTTTAAAGGGCATGAGAGGGCTGTGGCTGCTTGGGACTTGGCCAGGAGCTCTCAGCTGTTTTTATACTTCAGTGCCATGTTCAGGTGTTTGTGCACCCAGAATCCTCTGGCCCAGTTCACATGTTGCTTCCAAGGAAGGGCAATGGGAATGAGCGCGATGGCTTACACAGCTCTTCTGACACGTGAAAATGGTTTGGATCATTCACTTGGGGAGAAGGTGAGAGCCGGCACAGAAAACCCGATACTGCCCACAGGCTGGAAACCACAGCACCAAGTACCTGTGCAGACATTCCTGCAGGGCAAACAGCTGCAAGTGCTTGGCCACTGTTGTAATGTGCCAGTATGGAGCAGACAGGCTCTTTGGGGACACCCCTGAGGAGATTGCTTTCTGGCCCAGTAGGGATAATACATTTGGCAAAGGTGGTTTCTGGGAAGAGGACGACCAACTTGCTGTCTGTATCCCACCACCCCCTGTGTCTTGGCTGTCAGTGTATGTTTTTTCTGTGTGTAGCTGCAATTGCTGGACACTTGTTTTTGCACTGTGTGACAGGTATACACCTGAGTTGTAGCATCTGAAATGTGAGAAATCTTTCCCTTCAGTTTACAGTTGTGAGCCTGTCCTGTTTTCATTCCCTCTCAGGTTCCTCAGATACAATTTGTGACCTGCTGGGGGCCAAGGGCAAAGACATTTTGTACATTGGAGACCACATCTTTGGAGACATCCTAAAGTCCAAGAAACGTCAGGGCTGGAGGACCTTCCTAGTAATTCCTGAACTAGCCCAGGAGCTGCATGTGTGGACTGACAAAAGCTGTAAGAAACTAGGCAGACACCAGGTTTTGCTGTCTCCTCACCGGTGCAACGCCATCGGCCTCACTGCAGCTTCTCTAGTGTAAACAATGGGAGATTTCAGCAATATTTTTCAAGACTTAATTAGGAACCGTATTTGTCATATGTTGTCTAGGAGAGCTCTCTGAGACTATGCATCTGCTTGTTTCTTTTTTTTGCTAAGATCTTCCCCGTGTGTTACGGGTTGATGCAGCCCAATTACCTAAGAGGAAAAGGACAGGGAATACTTGCTCAGCCTTTCAGACCACAGACCCAGCTGTTGCTAACAACGGCACTTCTTAGCGAGGACGCATCTAGGGGCCTTTTGCATTCGGGTGCAGTGAAGGGGATGAAATTTCCAGCTGAATTCTTCCCATGATGTTTATTAAACTGAGCCTGGACAGAAGCTGTGATCTGATGGCCTTAAGTGTTCCAAGCCATGTAATTATTTCCAAATAAGCCACCCCTTTTTTATTGACTGGATCAGTATGACCCTCCATCAAAAGCCACTTCTCAAAAGCCCTGTTAGAAAGTGGCTCTACTCATACAAATTACCCCATTGATGACAAAGGGATTAGTTATATAAAACCTGCAGATGTGGGCCCTAAAGCACCAGGGATCAGTCCCAGAAAACAAGTCCTGAGCCTTGCCAGGCCTGCCCAGTGTGCATTCACCTCTTTATCTGAACCATCTCGATTAGACACCTGTTTTTCAGCACGTCAACCCTAGCAGCTACACACTCTGCTTTATTTTCCATTTCTGGCCACGCTGCCTCTTATGACAAGCGTCTGGCAGGTTTTCAGTTGTAGCAGTCTAACCCTCTTCTCTTTTCTGGAATTATTCAGCCCTTTTTGAAGAGCTGCAGAGTCTGGACATTTTCTTGGCAGAGCTGTACAAGTGAGTATTCCAACATTCGTATTATAATAATTCTCCTCTGCCACATAGCAGCTCACAAGTCCCATGTAAATTAAGTGATATTCTTTTTTAACACATAGGGAAATTGAGGCACGGCATAATTGTGACTTTCTCCAAGTCACATAATGAGTCTTGCGCAGCCAGGAGTTGATCTCTGGGACCTTGACTCCTAATAATCCTGCATTCTACCCACAAAGCCAACGTATCTTCCTCTACAGACCATTCTTCCTGACTAAAAAATACCCAGCCTCTAAACTCCCTCGTTTCCTGAATGTTTTCAAACAATTTTGTTATTTTTTTCTATACCCAGGCATTTGGACAGTAGCAGCAATGAACGCCCTGACATCAGTTCCATCCAGAGACGTATTAAGGTATTGATTATAAAAACACCTTTTCGTCCTGAAGGATCCCAAAGTGCTCTAGTCTAATACATAACTGTGTACTGGGACCAATTCCCTTAGCACTAAAATGCACCCACCTTTGGGGTGGAATGCAGCACAATACAATACCGCAGCATCACACAATCACTTAGGCAGGGAAGTAAAGTGCATCACATTCAACTGAAATTAAAAAGCAGCAGCAGGTTATTACTCCAGCTGGAATTTGGCCAGAACGCTGGGGATAGCACTTGCACTGTTAGGAAGAATCCCTTGGTCAAGAACCTTGTTTTATACCTGATTTAAAGGTGCAGAAGCACAGTGCCCTTGGCTACCATTCTGGGGCATTGATCCTGTACTGATTCAAGGGCCACCTACTGGTTTTCTGTCACTACCTCCTGCAGCATTCTTGGTGTTTCCTGGAAATTCCCCATCTACTGATCTAAACAGGGTTTGCCTGATGACATCACAGCCTGGTGATATGGCGGCAGCTATGATGAAATGTCATTGGCTCCAGAACAGCTTTCCCCTCTGTTAGGTCTGAATAGGGATATTGTGTGTGTGTGGGGGGGGGAGAGGGGTCTCACTATTAGAACACAAACACAAGGGCCCCTTTATTCTGAGACCCCTGCAGAATCTGAGCTGTCTAGGAGCTCAGAATGTCCCAGTTATGTGACAGTCTTTTTCCAGTCTCCCTGGGTATGTTTACCCTACCACCCTAGTTGGTTAATGTAGGCAACCGGAGTTGCAAATGAAGCCCGGGATTTGAATTTCATTTGCATATTGCTGGGCGCCGCCATTTTTAAATGTCCGCTAGTTCGGACTCCGTGCCTGCGGCGACACGCGGCACGAACTAGGTAGTTTGGATTAGGCTTCCTATTCCGAACTACCATTACTCCTCGTGGAACTTCAAATCCAGGGCTTCATTTGCAACTCCGGTTGCCTACATTAACCACCCTAGTGCGAACTAGGGTGGTAGTGTAGACATACCCCGTTTCTTAGTTTGTCTTGCTGTCTGGCCAGAGTGTTTGATCTGTCTTTTACTTGTAGAAAGTGACTCACGACATGGACATGTGCTATGGGATGATGGGAAGCCTGTTCCGTAGTGGCTCAAGACAGACCCTCTTTGCCAGCCAGGTGATGCGTTATGCAGATCTCTATGCAGCATCTTTCATCAACCTCCTGTACTATCCGTTCAGCTACCTCTTCAGAGCTGCCCACGTACTGGTGAGTGGTAACCCATTGAGAAACTAGCAGCAGTCCCGACAGGCAAATGCCATGGTTAGTGAGAGCTGTTGGCAGAACCAAATAAACAGTATTAAGGACTTGGGGCATCACCACTGTAGTGCAGAAGAGATAGGAAACCTGCGTTCTCATATTACAGGAAGGAGGTGCGTAAGCTTCTTCTGGAGGTGTCTGAGCTCTAGGGCAGGATGACAGACACCTGCTTGTTAGGGTGACTTTGGCCACCCAAGAAGCTGTCTACTATACCAGCCAGAGACCATCATGAGGGCTGCTCAGAGAGGATAGGAGAAATTATAAAGGTTCCTAGAATGAAGGGCATGGTATCACATCTAGAATAGCATAGAGTTGGGGATGCAGGAAGATTGACAGGTGGGGAGCACTGGATCTAGTCACCAATTTTGTTATTCTCCATTCTGGATTTCCAATTGAAGAGTCTCATAAGCTGTAATGAGGCTAATTACTGGCACTCAGGATTGATGTTAAGTCACTAGTCTTCACTAGGGATGTAAAGGAGTAGTCTGCTAGTTGACTACCCAATAAATTCCCTCCCATTGCTGCCTGGAGGGGGGAAGCAGGAGTCAGTGCTGAAGGGAGCCAGCTTAACAGTCGATTCCCTCCAGCACCATCTCAGAGGTGCAGCCCGTCCCAGCCCGCCTGCACTGCTGTGTCTTATCAAAAGCGGTGAGGCAGGAGCTGCTGCTGGCTGGATAGGCAGCCTGGCTCAGTCCAGCTCGTGCTGGTCCAGGACCAAACCCTGCTGCGTCTCTGCAATTTAAAATGTAGTAGGAGCCAAGCAGCCTGCTTCCCTGGCTCCTGCTGTTTTTAATTGCAGAGCCACAGCGGGGTTTGGACCTGCACCCAGCGTGAGCCAGGACTGAGTCGGGCTGCCTATCGACTAATCAAGTAGTCAATAAAAATTCTATTGATTACTCGATTAAATACCCACCTCTTAACATCCCTAGTCTTCACCTGTAAGAAGCTATGTGCTTCAAAGAGTAGTGAAAACTACTGCACTAGGTTCACTTCCAACCCAAAGCCCCCATGCCTTCTACTATTAGTTCTGTGATGGCAGAAGCGCACACAGCATGGTGGGGCTGCCTGTTTAGTTACAATCCCAACGCTGTGTATCAGTACAGCATATTTAACAAACTTCAGATGCTTGTTTTTCATTAGTATCTGCATATATTGGAGAAGTTTTTAAAGCATTTGCAGGCTGATCCCAGCTTTCCTCCTGGGACAGCAAAACAGGCCACCTCTCTCTCTTGTCTTTGTGTAGATGCCACATGAATCCACAGTGGAGCACATTCATGTGGACATCAATGAAAAGGAATCGCCTCTGGCCACCCGCAACCGCACCTCAGTGGACTTCAAAGATTCCGACTACAAACGGCATCAACTGACCCGGTCCATCAGTGAGATAAAACCTCCTAATCTCTTCCCTCAGACTCCTCAAGAAATCACACATTGCCACGATGAGGATGATGATGAAGAGGAAGAGGAGGAGGAAGAGGAATAGGAAAGAAAAAATGAAGCCTCTTTGAAGATAAAACGTGTTTGTGGCAGTGATGAGCTGGAGCAGATTCTCTTGTTCGGTTCCAGGGGAGTGGGTGCGATTCTTTCAAAGACACATTTTGAAAGTTTCTAAAACCTTTTTAAAATTAACACTAACCAGGAGGAGCCCCTTTGTTTTATTTTTGCAAATCGGCTCTTTGCAGACAGTTCAGCATGCCCCTGGATTCTGTACTACAGGAGATTCTAACAATGCAGTCAGATTGGACTGCACACACGTGTTTCTAAAATGCTGGTCCTGTTACATATTCGGGATGCTGCATGTTTTTCCCTTTTTTGTCCCACTGATGTAATTCTTCTGGTTTTCATTGAACGGCGTCCTACCAACAATTTGGTATTGGTACAGTCTCTGCAGGGAAGGAAGGATGCAATAGGCCTTGTCACAGCCAAAATGGTTTGAAAAGAATCCTGCTGTGAATTGTGCCAGTGTTCTTAACACACAGCTTTTTGGCTACAGATTCTCCCTGTACTAAATACTGTGATGTATCCAGGGAAGCATTATAGCTTCCAGCATTGAATTTACCCTCTGCTAAGCACAAGTTTCCCCTTATAAGCAGTTCAGTGTTCTAAATTACTCTGGCAATATCTGATTTCTGGGATTCGGGTGCTTACCAACATTCAGTAGTTTTCGGTTTGTAGGAAAGTCTGTTGTCCTCCCCTTGGTGGATAAAGGCTTAATGGTTCATTGTTGGCACGTAATGCATGATTTCTGTTACATTTTGAAAACAAGTGAGACTTGTCCGTGCTCTCATCTATCCCCTTCCTCAAACCCTCATATATTTTGAACAAGTATTGTTAGCATAGGAGCTTAAAATCATATCTTTATGTTAGTTATTTTTTCCCCTAATTTCTGTTACTTTTTCCTCTGCTCAGCTTTAAGAAAGGAACGGACAGCATCAAAGTATCCCAAAGATACAAAAGCCAAACAGCATCTGGAGTGGAAGTTTGTGCTCAGGCCATCCAGCCTAGTCTGAACTTGGCCCATGCTAGGATCATGTAATGCAGGGCTGGTGCAATTGTGTGACCCATTCAATTCCACAATGCACCTTGCAGCTGCCCCATGGCACAGTTCTAGCCAAGAGATTTGGCTTAGTCGCCAAGTGCCTGTGCTAGGACCTGCAGGTGCTGCAGGCTGTTACCTCCATTTCAGAAATGAACATGGTGCAGTCTATTCCATTGTCCTGCAAACTGCTCTCCATGTCCTGTCTCTGCCCTTTGGGCTTCCATCTTGTATGGTCCTGTTCCCTGTAAGGTGTGGTACTCAGGGCAGCATGGCTTACTCCAGACTGCCATTCGTTAGTGAAGGGAGCACAGTGAGGGCCTGTTTTTAGATCTTTTGGTTCAATCTCAAATTGCATTTGATCTGATGCCGGTGTAATATACAGTGAAAAACAATCAGCAGGAGGTGCTGGTGCAGCAGGTCTACAAGTCAATAAACCATCATGATTCTGAGACTATTGCCTATCACTTTGTGCACTACTGGAAGGGCTCCTGAAGGGTAGGGATTCCGTGAGGCATAGTGATGAGCTAGGAAACTATCAGAGAGTTTGGGTTTTCAGGAAATGTTGTCCAGCACTTTTGTTGCTAAGTTTTAAGGCAGGCAGTGTCCAGCCTCCTGAAAATGACTCAGAAGAAGCGTGCACAGAAGGAAGAAGGTAACTTGATTGACCAAAGGGCCCCAAAGAAGTGGGAAATGAATTAGAGCGTAAGCCAGTAGCAAGTCCTTGCATACAAAGGGGAGGGATTCTGGGCTCATCCACCATTACACGTTTGCATACTAGGGATGTGACAGGTTAACGGGCAAGGCTTTGCTAGCTCCGGTTAACTGTGGGGGCTGGAGCAGCTCCCCGCCCACCCTGACAGGAGGCTGCTCTGGCCAACCAGACCACCCCGTTTGGGGCACATCCAGCCCCAGGTCCCACACTGGCGCCTCAGGAGCAGGGGCCTGCTCCTGGGGTGCTGGCTGCAAAGCTCATGTTAAAACCTCCCTGCAGTTGCGCCGGGAGGGGCTGCCAGCCCTGCTCCTGGGGGCTGGCATCGCTGCACCAGTGAAGCCTCCTCCCTGAAAGCAGAGCTGGTAGCTCCAGCAGGATAAGGCTTCCTCGCTCCCAAGGAGCTTCACTGCTGGCTCTGCACTAGATTTACACTTCATACTGCAGAGCCCCACCGGGCGGGTAACCACAAGAGTTTCAGTGGTTACCTGGTGACCTTTGACATCCCTAGTGCAGGTAGCTGCTACTCCACAGGCGCACACCGACATACAGCACTGGATGTGTGCTAGTGTGAAAATAGTTGGTCAGCTACCTGGAAGTTGCCCTGGTTAGAAAGTTGCCCTGACTGGCTTTTGAAAGGACTTTAGGGACAATTGTAGCCAGCACCTACACACAGACCAGCTCTGCCTGCAAAGGGAACTGGGTCAGATGTTTCCATGGCACTGGTTCCCCTCTAGCTGCCCAGGTTTCACCTGTCCAGGTGAGTATTGGGGGAGAATGACACACATCTACCTCCTCCCACCACCACTGCTCTGTCCCCTCCCCTCTAAGGCCCATGCCACCCAAAGGCCCTCAGTGGTAATAAAGACCTTCCCACAGCATCCCTTGCAGCCACAGGTAAACGGGGATTTTCTTTTTTGGGGGAGGGCATGGAGGA